CCGATGGCAACCATGACATCAGCAAACCCTGAGTGGACTCGTGGCCTCATTCTCACTGCTGAAGAGTGCTTACGTTTTTCAGAAGTAGGGGAGGAAGCATAGGAGAGGGCTTCATCCAGCATCTGCTTGCACTCAGGATCATTTATAACCCACTCATTACTCATCACCTGAGAACTGAGAAATGCAGGAGACAAAACAGGTAGCCGCACACAACATAATATTTCTGACGAGTGCTTCAAGCGATCGCTAGAGCACGACAACCATTCAACAGCTGCGTTATAAACATCTTCCTCTGATCGAATGCACACATTTTCGTCTGATAGCAGTTCCTTGACTGCGTCTAACGACAGATCCTTAAACTCATCACATTTTATCACCTCATTAAAGTGTTTTACCGCATACTTGCGCGCTTCGCTCCAGAGCTCTTCGCAGGAAAAGCCACCAGCAACAGCTGCTATTCCCAGGCAATTTGACGGCTGCAGTTGCTCTTTAAGAAACTGGCAACAAACATTAGTAATCTCTTTCATTTGGAAAAGGTCCGAAGCACTAAGAATGTCATCAACATTAGCGTCATTCACGTTTATTGTAGAGGTGTACACAAATCGAATGATGCATCGAAGAGCTTCGCCAGTGACCCCTTTTAAAGTAATATCTTCTTTTCTGCTCTCTTTTAATTGTCCCAAGAACATGGCCCTGAAGTATGGACTGCCAACGGATAGAACATTGCGGTGCGCCGATATCGAGAAACCATCTTCTGTTCGAAGGATTACATCACAAAGCTCTTCCAGATCGAGCAGAGATTCTAATCCTTTGAGAACCAGAGCAGCATTTTTGCTCGAAAGATATCGGAAAGAAGACATCCTCGACCGATTCGTTTCCAACAGAAAATAATTTTCTATTTCGACCTCCTTATTATTTTCTCCTACGTTACAATGTTAGGTGAGCACGGTTAATAATGTACGGATTTAACAAAAAGTAGCTGATTTAACTATTACTGCGCTTATCTCGATTTACTTTACCGCTGACACCGATTATAAAACCCGTGAATCGTTCTCCCGGAAACTTACTTTCACGTGAAGCTTGTAACCCCTACATCGCAGCGATCCGTGTTCTTCCTCAATTTTCCAAAGATGCCTACCACAAACCAACAGAGCGATGAATTTCAACAATTTCTTGACCAGAATCAGTATTCTAGCAACAGTATTTTGCGTTACGAGAAAATTTTCGGACGAGGTTTTGTAAGCACTGGAGGTCTTGAAACAACAGAGGTAAGGTACAAATGAAGATTCAAGTAATTTTACTGGGAGGTAAAACATTTTTCTTCTCCATTCTAGAGTGATTTTGCAAATTTTAGCTCATTCCAACTTCACCCTTTCAATAACTTATTTGACTAGCTTGAATAATTTTTTTTAGGACTGCGGACGTGGAATTTCGACATCATGATCAACTCTAGCCTAAATTCTAACCAATTCTAGAATAATTACCGGTACATGAAATCAATTCAGTTTTGATCTTTAAGTCTGAAATGACCCAGAAATATCGCGCAGTGCCCCAGAACACAGAGTTATTCATCGGGAAATCTAAGATGTGTATCGCAAATTTTAGCTTGCAGTTGAAAATCTAAATTCTCTCTCATCTATTGTGCAATTGAAGGAGAAATTTTTCTTTCGTCAGATATTTGTATTTTTATTTGTTATGCAGCCCTGTGGAAACCCAGCTTTCATTTCTGTCATTGTAAATTCTCAGAAGTGATTTTTTTGTCTGTTTTACCTCTCTTTAATGTTTTCAGCATTAAATAGGTCCCCTCACACACATGTACACGTAGGAAACATTTAACCCCAGAGATTGTGCAATGAGGTGGCCTTCCATTCCCTGTGGTGTTAACCCCCCTCCCCTGCTTGCTATTTGATTGGGCCTTTGTTCCTTGAGTTGAGTTGAATAGTTGAAAGAGGTGAAGCATTTTTTCATCATTGTAATGGTTTTCATCCTTTTTTATTGTACAGGAAATTGTAGCAATGCTCACCTTAAAACCTGGTCAAAAAGTTCTTGATGTTGGTTGTGGAATAGGAGGATCTGGTTTCTACATGGTGAAGGTAAAAGTTAAGATACATCCCTTTTTGTTGCATTATGTTTACTCTATAGGTTTATTCAATAGTCTTTTGGATAATGACGTATTGGACTCCTGCAAAGTGTGGTAAATCTCAGTTAAAAGGGAATTTGGATATTTTATGATTAAAATAGAGGAAATCATTATTTTGTTTTATTACACGACTCGGGCAGTCAGAGGGCCAATAACTAAAATCAACCAATCAAAATGCTCTATTACCGGTCCAATATTCTCTAAGTATTGGACCGGGCACTGTCCCAAATGGTCCCGAATGATACCGCATTTGTATCCCTTTGAACTTCAGTCGTATAATAAATCTCTTATTAACCAAGCTTGCTCAGGACCGTACTGGAAGAATATCGGCCCTCGGTCTTTTTTGTACGGACTGAGCGCAGCGAGGTCCGTACTGTCAAGACCTCGGGCCGATATTCTCCCAGTACGGCCCTCGCGCTTGGTTAATAAGATATATAGATTACTTGGTTTTCTTATGTAATGCAAAGTTATTTTTGTGGATTTCTAGATGCACTGAGTTGCTTTTAACAACTTCCAGCCAAAAGGACTTGAGATGAAGCAAGCAATCAGCAAATTCAGGGGGGTGGGCTGGGGAGGGTGTAGGGGATCTGTTTTAGAATCAAACATCTCAGAATTTGAGACTCTTGAAGCCACATGTAGGTTGGCCTCTTGTTTATAACATTGCAATGAATTTTTTTTAGGGAGTTTTCAGATATATGATTTTATTCATGAAAGCCATGTCAAAGTGTGTTTTTTGGCACAATTTTTATCCTAAACTCAACTACTGTGGAATATTGTGTTACATCGGACTGTCTCATTTCGTACTCAGAATTTTAAAGTGGAAGTATTGGGTGTTGACTTGTCTCGGAATATGATCGACATCGGAAAACAGAGAGCCAAGGAATTCAAAGACGACAAGGTAGAGTGTACTTACACAAAACCTGTAACTCCCTGGACTGATTAACATGTAATTTCTCCCTCTAATATCTATAATTTATCCAGCAAACAGGTAATGAGAATACACAAACTTATCAGGTAGAAGTTGTTATCTTGATCCAACACCAAATTCTTGTAACTCGGGGCTCGAAATTGTGAAAGTGAAAGTGAAGGGAAAGTGAATGATTCGATACCTTAATAGCAGCATAGGCTGAGTTCCTAAGGTCTACAGTGTTACTAAGGTTGAGATCGGACGTCAGCATTATCATTATCAGGCACCTCTGGCAGCCGCTTTAGTCCATGTAACAACCTCACCTCTTCCCCCACACTTCCCACCCCAGGGGAGGACTTCCATCACACTGTAATCTTGTGCATGGGAAATTAACGTCTCCTACCCCTAACCCTGCAGGAGACGGAACCTCCATTTATTCGTTCTTATCCGAGAAGACTAGAATATCTATCCATTTCATTGATGTTATAGAAAGGTAGCAAACTCTCCTCGGTTATTTTAAGACCATCAGTATTGGTCTGGCCGGGGCTCGGACCCTCGACGTCCCGCACAACACAATCCAGCGCTCTAACCAATTGAGCTAACCAGGAGGCGACTTAATTTTTATGTTTGCCACTAAATCTTCCCAAGGAGTTGCAAATTTGCGAGTAGAATAAAAAAGCCAGTAGTCGCTACTTTGCCACTATTTTTGCCAAAATAAATAAAGAAATGAAAAAATATATTGTCGTCTGCCTTGATTATCATAGACATTTGAAGATATAGGGTAAAATTGTACCTAAGTTATCTGCAATATTGTGCACGCAACACCATTACCTTGATCGGCCACTATTGCAGCCATCTCTTATTCATATGTATTGCAGGCTCATATTTTTGTTTGTTAAACCATTGGATTTTTGCGACTAAAATTCATTAACTTGGAACTATATTTATGTATCAAGTCACAAAATGGCGACTGAACTTTTCTTTTAATTTCAAGCCTTGTAACTCATTCCCAAGGAAATGTTTAGGAGCTAGAGGGGAGAATTAACAATCAGAACTCAGTAACTGTAAAACAAGATGTTTAGTACGAGTAAATAAATGTTACAACCAAACAAATGTTTTTTGTGATAGTGTAATCAAGATGAAATTCTCTAACAGGTTTTCATACCACATGCAATTAGAAATTGTGTCAAATAATTATATATTTTAATGTGATCTTGCAATAGTACAATTTACATACAGGTAGTTTCTGTAAACATAGTGTCTGTGAGTTTTTAGCAGGTAGGTTCATGAAAATTTGCAAATTTTTTTTGTAATGAAGATGTCATTGCATTTTAGCTAAATTAGAATTTTGTAAGCTTAATGCATGCAAAATGATGAATTGTGATGTGATGTGAACTATTGTGATGTGAACTGAAATTTTTAGAAGAAAAAGGCTCAAAAGTGGTACATGTAGTATATATAGCATTAAACTTTGCAACCCAAGTACTAAACCTTCAAGTTTTCCCTTGTGTTTTCAGGTTGAATTTGCAGTTGCTGACATAACAACAGCAGATTATGCCCCAGAATCCTTTGATGTCATTTACAGTAGAGACACAATTCTTCACATTGCAGATAAAGAAGCCTTGTTTAAGAACTTCTTGGTATGCTATTGTTTATTTTATTATTTTCCTTTTTTTTATTGAAGAGTGCTTGAAATAAAGCCCCAAGTGAAATTTAACACAACATTTGCTTCATCCCTTTACAAGGGAATGTAAAGCAACTTGTAGAGAATCTATGTGTAGTACTTTATTAGAACTCACCAAGTACTTAGAATTTTTTTGGATTCAGTGTAAACTTCTATGTACATGTATATTGTAAAAAGCTCTACAAGATGCAGGCTCGTGTTTGTTGATAAAACTAATCCTTCAATCTTTTTCTCTCATTACACTGTACGTGCCCCCTAGTCTATGAACATGCATGTTATGAGTTCCAGCTGATTAACTGCAAGTAATTTTGTTCTTCTTGATTAGAAATGGTTGAAGCCTGGTGGAGAGCTTCTTATTTCTGACTACTGCCGCGGTGCTAATGAATTGTCTGAGCAGATGAAAGCATATGTTGCTAAGCGACATTATAACCTTCTGACTCCAGCAGATTATGGAAAGGTAAGGACCGAGAATCTGTCTGGCTGTCTGTAAACTATGCTGCATTTCATCTTTCTTCAGGAAAAAAAAAACAGTCAACCAGCACTTTGAAATGAACTGTTTTAATGACTGAGATTTTACCTCTAAAAACAAAATAAGGTAAAGTTTTCATTAACTATAACAACAAAAACTGCCCTTTCTCCTTCTTTTAAGATGAGGTTGATTCTTCAATAATGGGGTTAGTATTTCAAGGGATATTAAACACAGTTTTTTTTTTTTTTTTTTGGATTATGATTTCAGTTGGTCACAAAGTGAACTTTGCCAACTTAAAATTTAATTATTTAGTTATTTGTAATACATGTATTAAGACAGGCTGGCCCAGTTCAGCTTTAAAGCCAGCTAAGATGGGGGCCTGTATTGAAAAATAACAGCTTGAAGGCCAGACCACATCCCCGGCTAGATGCAGGAGAGAGGGCCCACAGTTTATCATCCTTGTCCCGGAAGACTAAAATGCCCAACCATTTGAAACTGTCATTGCAAAGGCAGTACATTCTCATCAATCAACCTTAGTGTTGGTCCAGTGTGGGTAAATTGATAATATAATGAAAGTTTGGAATGGTCTGAACCCACCCATCATAAAGATAAACTCCATTTCAGTTGTTCAAATTACTAGAGAATTCAGCCATTATTGTTTTATTAATGAAATTTGGGCAGGACCAAATCGACATAGATGTTTTATGATAATTATAGATAGGACTCCTGCTAAGGCATGTAAACTTGATATAAGACTTCCACACTGTTGTCAGAAAAAGCTAAAAGTGGAAACCCAAATAGTAGAAACCCAAATAGTAGAATTTTTAAGTTGTAACAAGCTCTTTTTTTAGCTTTTGTAACATTTTTTCTTTCTTTGCTAATAGCTTCTTGAGAAAGTTGGTTTTGTTGATGTAAAAGCAATAGACAACACCGAGAGATTTGTGGAAGTTCTTCGGTCAGAGAGGAAAAGATTTGAAACAGACAAGGAAATTTTCTTGAAGGTGAAAAGATTTGAATGCCACATTAAATATAGATCGTTTTTAGCATTGATACATGAATTTACAGATATCACTAACAAAAGGAACGCTATGATTGTTAAATTCTGAGGTTTAGGCACACTTAATGAGTAAACTAATCTTGTCTTGACTTAATAATCTTTACGCCCTAACATAAGTGTGCGCATTCTCCATACGGTCCTCAAAATAGTCAAACAATCAAGAGCTTCTTTAAGTTGGTGATCATTTCCTTTATTTTCATGACCTACATGTTTTGACAGTTCATTGATATTCTCGTTTATTTGTTTTCGGTTTTTTTTTTTTAAACAGGATTTCAAAAAGGAAGATTTTGAATACCTCGTTGAAGACTGGGAGACAAAGATTGACCGCTGTGGCCGTGGAGACCAAAAATGGGGTCTATTCCATGCAAAGAAATCTTCTTAAATCATTTGTCGCACACATCACGCTAAAGCTGCTTTTCAGAATCGTACAAGGAATCATATCAAATCTTTTATGACAAATAATCAAATCTTTCAGGTGCTTCATTTTTATTTAATAGATAAGCACCTACATGCCCGCTTCCCGTGAACTATTTTGTCTTCAACAATTAAATAAAAAAAGGTAATAAATTGGGTGGTGTTTCTACATTTGGCAATTGTTATCTTTCACCAAAGTATATGCTAGCCGTTCACGTTTCACGCGTTTGCGTGAAACGTGAACGGCAAGAGTGACCACGTGATCAAGATTTCCCGTCATTTTTTCACCTTTGCCGGTTGCATTTTGCCGTTTCTACGTGAAAGTAAGCTATTTCGCATTTGCTGTGCATGTAAGATTTTCTTTCCTTTTTCTCGCGCGGCGTGAAAGTTAATAGCCAGAAAAAAGTGCACCAAAACTATTTCCAGCATGTCATATAAGGGCAGATGAAGTTTCGTGGTGAAAATCCTTCGAATGCTGCACTTTTCTTCGTCAGACAGCAGCAAGAACCCGCGATAACTCGTAAGATGGTGTCCATTACATTCCGAAGGCCCTTGGTGGGTGGGGGGGGACGGTTATCCTTTATCCCTTTAACTTTGAAACCAGATGTCCCCTTATCCCTAGGACTTTTAAAGGCTTTTATCCCTAACCTCTCTTTCAATTTTTCCACCAACGAAACAGACAGTGGTAACTGAACGTGATTTAAGTTGTGTTTTTGTTTTGACTATGACTATCAGCTCACCTCAGACATTCTTGTTATGCCAGACTTGATACCCCTTGTAGGCATAGTGGTGGTGGCATTTCCCATTATAGCCCGCCATTTAAGTATTCAAGTTCTAGGCTTCGAAGAATGCCAGCTCAAAATGCTGCCCTCCACTTTGATTGAAATGTTGGTTATGAATTTTAGATGTTTCCATCACAGCTTCAAATTACCTCTATTAAAATCGGCATTTTGTGTTCGACGTTCTTCATAATTTCTCTTATCGATGGTGTTCAGCAATCACCTTGCTGAACACCATCGACTTACCAACCACAACATTGACTGGGACTCTGCGCAATGCCTAACCTACAGCACTGACTATTTTCAACGACTGACTCTGGAAAGCTGGTTTACTAACTTAGAACAGACTCCCCTAAACAGATGTCAACAACTACCCGCCCCATACAAACGACTCATTCACGACATAAACATCACAAACGACCGAAAAAGAACAACAACAAATAGTTATCTCGGAATTTTTGCAACTAATGGCCTTTTTACGATTTTGGCCTTTCTTGGCCTTCTTTCGTTTTGGTGAAAACGCCCAATCGTGGTGAAAACGCCCAATCGTGGGGAAAATGTTAATTTGTCATTATTGGCTAAAATAGAAAAATGATTGTCATTGCCCAAAATGGCCACTGGAAGCAGCCATTAGTGCCCAAAATGGGAAAACGGCCCACCCGTAGCCAAAATGTCAAAATGGCCACTATTGGTTAAAATGCAAAAACAGTCACTAGTGGCCTAAATGTCAAGACGGGCACCAGTGGGTAAAATGCCAAAACGGCCAGTGGGTAATATTTTTTCTTCCCATTGTAGAGCAAAGTAATGGAAGTTTCCTATTATGTAAGTTTGGTGGAGTAAAAATTGCACCTTATGTTTAATTCTGCCAACACCCAGATGAGTGTTTCAATGTGAAAAGCTTTTTTAGGATTAGTTAGCTAGTTAGTCTTGCAGTATACGCATCCTAATCTTAACATGCGTACAATGAAACTGCAGAGTCGGGTACAACTTGAAACTCGTGGATGTTAACATAGTTAATAGAGGGGACTGGGTCCCCTCTACTAACTATGATGTTAAATTGAAACGCATTCGTTCGTTTTGGCCTTCCCTCACCCTGTTAACACTTAGTCATGTAACTGATCACGCAAAGTGCGATGTGCAAGAGGCTTAGACACCAGCCATATCTCCAGTGAAGAACAATAGAATCCGTGTCCTGCTTAGTTTACATTTTTGAATTGTCAACCTAATCAAGGTTCTTTGTGAGCGAGGCCAGTAGATATAGAATAAACGATTGTGGACTTTGGAGATGTTGCACTCATTCTTACCCCGTCCCCCTCGGTCTGGCCCTTGCTTGACACGGTTCCCACCGGTGTTAGAAGCGCCGCTCACGCGCGCCTTAACATGTTTTGCTGTTATGAACACGAGGTTGTCTGTTGTTAAAATTTACCAGAAAACTATCTTGCTATACAAAGAAACTGTCTGATTCTGTATTTCACAGCGCTCCTTATTTCTCTGTTCTTCCAGCAGTATAAGAACGGATTTACAGCCGAGTTGCAGAAGAGTATAGTCAGTGTGGCATCCAAAGCAAGATCAAGACTGACTGTCCGCCATCTTGTCATGGCAAATACAGCTGCTACTGTACCATATGGGAGATAACAGGCAAGGAGTGCTAGCTGCACCCACAGAGCACTGGAGACTGTCTTTTTATATCGTGCTATGTTTAATGGTGTGTCCCATTTATTAAACTCTCGGCGATAATCGATGTCTTGTACTTGATTTTGATGTTGACGGAGAGTCCGATAAATTTTCATATAACACACGGTCGAGATTATTAAGCACACAGACAATATGATGCTGATCAATGTTATACAGAGACGCAAGTCGTGAAAAATTGTCATCGCTACACCAGAGCTGAGGAGCAAAAATAGGAGAAGAGCGACCCGTACTCCTTTTAACGTAACCACCTGTCGGTATCGCAGTCTTAATAATAAGGCGAGAAGTCTGTCCACACTTATAGTTGTCACGGTGAGAGATGAAACGCCGCAAAATGTCCCCCCTATTGTATAAAGCAAGACGACAAGGTAATAGCAAGTCTTAGAGTGTTCGGTAGACCATGAAAAGCTAATGAGTAGAGGTTGCGTAAATATTCCTACGCCCAGATCGGTACATGCGAGACAGTTAAATAGAAATTTCGACGGTGGATGAAGGGACGATTCGGGTATCTTTCGAAGGGCAGCTATGATCAAAATGTTCCCTAATACAGCAGTGACTAATAATGGTGCATTTAATGCTGACATAAGCATCCTAAAATGCAATCCATAAAGACTGAGGGGGCAATGAAAGTCGTGGATCGTAGTTAAGTTCCCGCCTCCGGTTGAGTTCGTCATTTTTATTTTGATTCCGTGTAGACCAGTTTCTTGTTATTCATAGCACAGGTGGATGTTCTAAACTTTCTATTTCTTATAAATTGAAAGGGACCCAACTCAGCCGCGCTGGTCTCTTCCAAGTTTCTTGAATGTTTTTTTCTGGCAAGTTAAATGCGCAAAAGTACATAATCAATCAAAGTAGATTTACTTGGTGGTCCTGCAATAAGTATATAGTACACTTGCAGATCTTAAGCCCAGGACTAAGAAGTACTGAAAGGCCCACTGTCCATGACAGTAATTGGACGGCAGGCGCGTAGCGTGGTCATTTTTTCAAGTACGCACAAGTACATATGATCTAGAAACCTAAGTAAACTGAGCGAAAAATACCGCGTTCTTTATTTCTTGTTCGAAAAAGTTGTGTGAATACAAGCAAATAACAAAGCGTCTCGCCCTTATTTTGAGCAAACTTGGCGCAAACACGACATTGTTTTCTGGTCACTTCAAGTACGCACGTGCGTATATGCGTATAGTACGTTACGCGCCTGGGCGGCTCGAGGACCTCTGAATTGAAATCGCGGTGACCTCATAACTCCTCAAAACGCTACATCAAATTGCGCCCTTACAAGTGTGAAGGTGCAATTTGTTGAAAACCAGCGTTCCAGCGCGTCGACGAATAAAATCTGAAGTTTTATTCCTCAGATGATCCTCAAATATGCTCCATTATTGCCATTAAAATGATTTTGTATGTTTTCGTTTCGAGGGCAAAAAAGGAATCTCGATAAATAAATCACTGAGGTCGATGTAAGTCAAATGAGCATCTCGTGTCAGTTCGATTAGTTAGCTTTTTTTTGCGCGTTCTAATTAATTTGAAGTTTCGAAGTCCAAGTCATCCATTGCCTGACTTAACTCCGGCTTAACTCACGAAGTTAGAAATATGGAATATATAATTCCGTATTTTTTCCCTTGTTAGTGTTCTACTGCTTGATCAGAAAATCACATAAAGGAAGATCTCCGCAAAAATTTCAGTCATCTCAAAGCGAAACACTTTGTTCTCGCAAAACACAGAAAATCGTCGAGTAGCATAATTAGCTGACTCACCAATATTTTCAATTTATATGCTATCCAGAGATTACAATCGTTAACATTATTGGAGAGAGAACTATTCTTGTTAACTTTCGTCGCCTTGTTGGTTTATCCTTTTTCACTGAATCAATTTTTACAAATAGGTTTCTTTTCCGGACTAATTAAAGGCAACTTTTAAAGAGCTCGTTCAGTAACATCACAATTTGCGAGTTTCGACAGGCAACGAAAAATGGCTTAAGATGGAACTTTTATCCAGAATTCTCCTGTAATCCTTAAATCAACGGGAAGAAGTTCAGTTCTTTCCGTTCGACGCTTGCGGTGACGTTTATATTAAGCCTTCTCATTGTTTAGGTCTAAATAACGATGAAAAAGAAACAAGCTTTGAATACAAACCTCAAGCGAGTGAACCCGCGTTCGTACATTTCCGGTGTTGTTAATGGAAGTTATTATAAAAGAAGTGAAACTTGTCAGATGTATCGCTTGAGAAACTGCAAACTTGAGAATCTAGCCGGGTCTTAATCTGTTGGCAGGGTTAGCATCGATCATCAAGCTGAAAGAACAAAGTTAATGAACGTTTGTATCAATACATAGTGTTTGACTACTTAAATCTGATAGCACGGTGTTTCTTTGCTTGTGCATTCGATTTGCCTTACGGTTTTACCATGAGTTATATGTCGGTTGCTATGGGCAAGATAGTAAAACCTGCCTCTAATTTTAACACTAGCGCTCATACCCAAAGTTATACTGGTCTTCAGCAATATCTTGCCAGAGTCTTGGACGCATTTTAATCACAAGCTAATCTTTAATTTTAATTCTCACTCTTAATAAGTATTGACACATATGTGTCTTGCTCTTGAGGCAACAAAATTGAATACTACCCGTATTGAAAAAAAAAATTTCCCGTTTGGTTGCCTTTAACCAGAGCCGCGTCAAATTCATTGTTTTGGGATGAATCCAGTAGTTTCGAGCCATACGAAGATAGAGATGTTAAACGAATTTATTCACTCAGAGCCCTTTTGATGTTCAACTTCTTCAAGCGATAATATACAAATAACATGTAGATTTTCACCATTTGGTTAATCGAAAACACCTGTTCTCATTTTAGGTTCTACCGTTCGAAACTTTTCCGCCCTTTATAATCATCGAATGAGAAGCTGAGTGCCAAAATTCTAAAAAACTGAGGTTCTACCGTTCGCAATTTTTCTGCCCTTTATAATCATCTAATGAGAAGTTGATTGCCAAAATTCTAACAAACTGAGGTTCTACCGTTCGAAAATTTTCCGCCTTTTATAATCATCTAATGAGAAGCTGAGTGTCAACATTCTAAATTTGCGACTCGCTGTGAATCTAATGAAAAATTTATCGGGCACGAACTTCGTGTCTCTATCCTGTTTTCAAGTGACTCAGATCACTAAAAGGGTGTTTACTAACATCAAAAACTGCAAGCAGGGCTGGAAATCACCTTTGCATGAAATCGAACCGCTATCATCATGAGAGACATTAAAACTTAAACGGTTGAACATGAAATTTATGTTCTTTCAAATACACGCCAAAAAAAAAAAAAAAAGGTAACTTTGATGACCGTGGAAATCAAATTTTATTGAGAAAGATAACGAAAGAGATGTTTGTTGCAATTTTTTGCTTTATTGATTTTGTTCGTGATTAAATGAATTTTTGTTGATGCTGCTGTTTTTTTATCGGAAAGAAACATTAACTTTGAAAATGCTCCACTCTGTAGTTACGGATTCAACAAAACAAGCTTTTTCGTCGTCAGGAAAACAGGAAGGCTCAGAACCACTTCTCTGATGTTGTTATTACAGCTGCCCAGTGAGCCAAATAAATGATTTTGTTCCAGTTTTTTCGTTTATTCCATGGAGGCATATGTTGTGCCATAAAGCAGTCGACATAACAACTTTTCACAAACGATTTTCAATTAATATTTCCTCGCCGTGTTATATGAATCGTTACATTTCACCCGATTTCTTAAGTTATCAGAACAAAAGAGATCTACACTCACCTCTTTTTTTCACTCTCTGACGGTCTCAGATGTTAAGGTTTTTCTTCAAATGTCATCGATATATTTGTAAATGATCGTGAAATAAGAGATTCAGCCACGCGCCGGTGGAAAGCTTAAATCATAAGGTCTGATATGGATGGGAGCGTTGTTCAAGAGATCTGTCTAATTTTCTGCCAAGTCAGAGAGTTTGTGTGAAAGGCTGGAGTTTCGTAACTGATGACGTATTTGTTTGCTGCCTTCAAACCCAATGACACTAGGTTTTACAGCTGTGAAGCCAAAGGGGGCCCCCGCAGGGTGAGTGATTTTGGTGCTTTTGATAATGAAATGGCGCCAGTCTTTGGACGATCTCAAAAATTTGGTGGCCTTAAGATTTTCTTGTTTAAATGGTGTGCTACGACTCAATAATGTGCAGCGAGTGTAAAGTACATTTGCAGCATACCTAGAATTTTCGGCATGCTATCTTTAAGAAGAACGAAAACAACTCGGCATTCAGTAATAATCTCCTGTAGCGGGGGGTGAATTGTGCGAAAAGAAACTGGTATCAATTCGTGTTGAGGAAAAATTAAAACTCATAATAATGCCTTTAATTATGGTTGCTCAGCTCGCCGGACGAACATGAAATTAAAGTTACAAGCCAGCTTCCTTTTCCTCAAGCCAGTTACCCTTCATGCTAATACGGTACCGAAACAAACAGACAATCTCCAGCGACAAATGCTGACCAGGTGATCTGTGACACTTTTAGCGACCTGAGCTGTTAGGAAGTGCAGACGTCAAACGAATCTACGAATTATTTCGAAATCGTATAAACGGCGTCACGATAAATGATTAGTGAGCGAAACAAAAATATAATGAGGTCGTAACTTGTCCATAATAAATAGCTTTTTTTTAGTTATTTTCAAGCAGGGAACACCCCAAAAGCTACTCTACGTCGAACCATCAAAAACCTAGTGTTAAAAGCAAAAATAATGGAACTTTTTTGAGCCCCCTAAGAATAGCCTCGTGGGTGATTAAATCCTTTTACTAGCGTGTCATATCATCGTCTGGATTTATGCTATGGCGACGCTTTTCCATCCCTTAAAAGTAGACCTCAACTCTTTTTTTACTTCCCCTCGTGATATCTAGTAAACTGCAAAAAAAGATCAAGGCTGATCTGCGTCAGTGGGGGTAACGAAATAATTTGGATATATCAACAAAGTTGAAATGGTAAATTGGCCACAGTAACGATTACAAAAGCTGTCGTTTCGAGCGTTAGCCCTTCGTCGGAGCAATAGAGGAATTTTGGGTTGTGTGTGCTTTTAAAGGCAGAAAATGGAGCTACGTTATTGGTGGGAACATGGCAACGAGAAAAACACGAATAAATTAGTGGAATGAAAAGCGGTTCGTTGATCCCTGTGGGATTTAGACTGCCGGTTTGAAAGATGAGCTTTTGTTCAAGAGTTTGAACTCATCATTTTTTTTACGCTTGAGAGCATCCTTTTCAGTCATTGCGCTCAAAAAAAAATAAATTTTTTTTCAAACAACTAGCAATTAGTTTTGTTTTATCAGCTTGAGCCGAATATAAACGTTCCCATTAACGTTAGTGGTACGGAAATAGAGATGATTCTCTCAGATCAATAATGACCCATGCCTCTCTGACCAAAATTCTCACCTCACTCTTTTCTCTAAGAGCATCTCAATGTGGAAGGTTCTTACTGAATACAAAGAACAAAAGCAGTTACATTTGAACAAATTTCAGATGCTACTTATAACATCTCATCTTGCGTTTTCATGATTTGACCTGAGTGTTCACTATTAACCCGAGTCATTAAAACACATTAAACCAAAAATTGTCAGGAGGTTTTATCAGATTTAAAATTCAAATTCGTAATGTATAAAGTTCAATTTTAAAGAGTGTGTTTCTCGCCTCCAAGGAAAATATGTTAAGATGACGAATAACACATTGCCGCCGGCAGAACGAAAGTGAAAAGGCCAGCCATGCCTGCGTACTTCACATTTAGCTTATGATCAATTTGAAGTCAGTTAACACACAGTGAAACTGAGGACAACCTTTAACATGCAAACATTACTCATTTAGAATGCGGAAGAGGACAAGCCTCAGTTTTTCGTAATTTGTTTTGTATTGTTCACAAATCATTGACAACCACAACAAAAGAATCCTGACTTCCCACGTAAAGACTAATGCTGCCGCCACAACCACCGACGCTACCGCCAACAATAATAAGAAATGGGCTTATACTATTTTGCGAAACGAAACGAAACGAAACGAAATTGTACTATTTTGCGAAACGAAACGAAACGAAACGACATTTTGCGAAATGGCGTTTTTTCGCTTTTATTTAGCAAATATGTCCTCTTCGTCCGAAATAAAATGTTTCCACTAATAAAACGATCAATATTTCTAAGAGCCCGGTCACCTCTCATTTTATTGGCCATAACAGAACTCGTTTCGCAAAGTAGTAATTTTGACAGAATTACTATTTTGCGAAATGGCGTTTTTTCGCTTTTATTTAGCAAATATGTCCTCTTCGTCCGAAATAAAATGTTTCCACTAATAAAACGATCAATATTTCTAAGAGCCCGGTCACCTCTCATTTTATTGGCCATAACAGAACTCGTTTCGCAAAGTAGTAATTTTGACAGAATTACTATTTTGCGAAATGGCGTTTTTTCGCAAAATAAATCGTTTAANTAACTGCAGACAGTACTGTTTCGGCCTTCTGGGCCTCATCAGTGCAGTGCTGATGCTAGGATGGGGGAGAACCGAGACGGTCACCCCAAACGACCCAACCTTTGTGGTATCGTCTATATATATTTTTATATATATGATTACTGTTGATTTAATGGATCTTTTAAAAATGATCAAATGATGTTTTTTCGTGGACGTGAACGAAGGAGCGGGGTAGCGTAGGTTCAATTGTGAATTAGAATTATAAATGATGAAATCCAATGTTGCATTCCACGAAAAAACGTTTTAGCAGGAAATGGGGTTTGAAAGACATTTCCAAACCAATTGAAAACATTTTTTGTACGTAAACGCTAGAAACCTGCATTATGCATGAAGTAACGGCTGCTGCAATTTTTAGCTCAAAATGATTATATCAAAATCAGATTAAAAACTCAGAAAGGGGAAAAGGATGATGGGTGATTTGCACTTAGTGTTTTATAGTTTTGGCGCCAGAGCGTTGTCCCAGGGAGTCTGGGGACGAACCCCCCTTTTTATTTAAAGTCGCGAAAAATCTAATATTCAAAAGAACGGTCAGCCAGAGATCACGAAAAGATCTAAAAGATGCATGGAATGCCCTACGAATTGTAAGTTAAATTTCGTTAAAAACTCTCAAATGTTATTCAATATTTAAAAAAATCTGTATTTGTTTTTTAGTTTCACTTGCTTCCTCTGGCAACCAGTACAAAAATAAACGGCAACCATACATCAGAAACCTTCAAAGCTACGGTAACGCTTCAAAACGAAAGCGCGAATCAATGGGAAAATGATAATGATCCATTATATATATATTATATATAGCACATTCTCCATATCAATACGCCTTAATGCACTTAACAACACTTTCTAAGGGACTTTGGCCAGACTGCATTGAGCAGTTTACAAGTTTTGAAAAGAAATTTTGCAAGTTCCGTAAGATTTTGAACCTGACGACAACACAGGCAGCTACGGTCCTTACGTGGCATTCATCCCCCTTGTGACACAGTGGTAGAGGCCAGTGCTTCCGAGGTCCAATATTTTAACTAATTAGAAAATTTCAGCGGAAGCTCCATTAGGTCTTTAACGACCAACATTTAATCTAACGTTCAATCATTTAATCTGAATCTCAACGACCGACAACGATCGTTTTCGCTTCAAAAAGCTTAATTTGCTTGTTTATTGCATTATCACCATGGCTGTACCTGTGGCGCTGATTTTGGCGGGAACAGATGTTTATAAATCTGACAGATGGGGGTATATACATGTTAACTATTTCTTAGAAATGAATAAAGCATGCACCTTCCTCAAATATGAAAAAGCTTCCTGCTAATTACCAATACAAAGAACACTTGATGAGGAAGTTTCCGATGATTTTATCACTGAATTTTATCGGAACACCAAGACGTGTCTTCTACAAAGCTTTAAAAAATTAAATATCCTTACCGTTCGTGAGGAACCCACTCACTTTTTTTTATAATTTAAGGTGGCTCTGTACCTGCAGTACAGATATTCTTAATCTAAAG